CACAAACCCAACAATGTCCAGCAGTCTGCCACCTTGGTTTGCTACTCTACCCTCTGCCCCTACCTAAGTAGTTTATGCAGTTGTTTCTTGAAAACAAGTCTGTACAAGCCAGAGCCTGGCCTTGTTATCACTGAATTCTAGCATCTTACAAAAATTGTTTTTTGTTTATTTTTTTGAGACAGGGCCTCACTACATAGCCCTGGCTAGCTTGGAATTTACTATATAGACCAGGCTGGTCTTGAAATCACAGAGATCTTCCTGCCTCTGCCACCTGAGTGCTGGGATAAAAGGCATGCATCACTATGCCTGGCCTTTTGTATGTAATATTATTATTACATTTATTTTGTATACACGTGCATGTATGTGTGTGGGTACAAGCATGCCAGGGCATGCATGTGGAGGTCAGAGGACAACTTGGGGGTGTCAGTTTTCTCCTTCTATCATGTGGGTCGAGAGGATTATCAGGCTTGGCAGCAAGCACCTTTACCCACAGAGCAATCTTGCTGGACCTGGATTCTAGCATCTTTCCAACCAACTTTTTTAGACTTACCAGAAATATGGGAAGAAAAGCAAACAAACCAAAAAACCCAGCATGTACTTCCATTCCCCCACCTGAACAATGACTAAGCAAGAATGCATCCAGTACTGCACTGTCTGAATCCAGGGACTTGCCTGTTTCCATGCTTGGAGGGCTTGGGGGAAGGGGGTGTAGCCAAAGTGGACATGAGCTGTCTCTACTTTTTTCATATGGGATAAAAATTCTGAGTGTGTTCTACTCAACGCAGGGAGCATTTACTGATGACCTTCTACACACGGGAGGAGGATTAAGATGCAGACGATAAAGGAGCCCTGGCCTCTGTTGTTAAGGAAGTCACACAGGGAAGCTGGTCAGGGAGAAAAGTACACAAGTAACTAAGATATAAGGCAGAATATGTTCTGTACCCTAAGAAAGATAAAAAGCAACCTAGGATACAAGGTCCTTTAGAAATCCACCCACAGCTGGGCGTGGTGGCGCACGCCTGTAGTCCCAGCACTTGGAAGGCAGAGGCAGGAGGATCTCTGTGAGTTCAAGGCCAGCCTGATCTACATAGAAATCCACCCAGAGTTCCTGGACCCCAGAACATGCCCCTTCACTAACGACAGTTCCACCTTCCGCTGTATTTACGGCTGAACAACCGATTCAATACGTTTGTTAACAGTAGGCCAGGGAATTAGGTGACCCATAGAACAGACTTTTGGGCATGAGTCTTTAATATCATATTCGCTACTCATCAACCACCTTCCATGGGAGGGGAGAAGAAAGTCCAGCCAAAGGCTTGGAAAGCAACGAGACTGATTCAATGCTGGGGAGGTGGACACGCAGCATTCCACCCTAAGATCTACAGCAAAGCAGCTTAACAAACAGGCCAGGACAAGAGTGTGTCCAAGACATCCAGCCAGACCAATTCTGAAGGACTTCCAAGGGCTTTTTCTTTACTACATATAGAGAACCTTGGAGATCTATTATCAGACTCCACCAGAAGTTTCCAGAGAAGAGTGCAGTGGTGGTAGGATGTCTCTTCTACACAGGGCTAAAAACAGCAGGGCCAGAATTCAAAGCACTTGGAGACAGAAAGAGTAGAGTTGGGTGAGAGGGAGAGTTCCAGTGTAGTCAATGGTACCAAGATCTGTGGGGTGAGGGTGCTCACTGATACAAACAAGAGGGAATGACAGAGCGCCTTGTGAGAAAGGTGAGGAGAGGGGACCGGAAGATGAAAGGAAATTTCTACTTATAAAGGAATTCCTGATGAAAATGAGGGGTGCTGTCACCAGATGCTGGATGTGGGCAGGAAAGGTGGGATCTTGGAATGGGAGGGTGTGCACGTCAAGAAGGGTGGGGTGTTGAGGTGGAAGTGCTTCATTTTGCAGAAGCTGGGCACATCAGAAAGTCACTACAAGAGTGAATTAGAGGTTTCAGAAACAGGGTGTGACAGGATGGCAGAAGTTAGGGGGCAGAGCTAGAATACAGACTGAGAACAGGAAGCGCTCACAGAAGTCTAGGATAGAAGGTACAGCCCAGGGACACATGGGTTCCTGGGGGTAAGGAGCATATCGGGATGGATGGATTGGGGGTAATGCCAATGAGGTGGAAGACACTTTATAGTGAGATCATGGCGTGAGGGCGCTCCAAGGGGCCATATTTGGGCAAAGATCAGAGTCAGGGGCTGGGAATATAGCTCAATGGTAGAGTATTTGCTTAGCTTATATATACAAAGCTTGACATACAGTAGCTGCTTGGAGGCCAAACATTATCAAGCAGCTATCAGGGTGAAAAACAAGAGGCAAGGAGCACTCATCAGAGATGAGGACAGGGATTCCAAGATGGCCACAGTGGTGACTAGGATGGACCATGTGTTCATTTCTAGTTCCAATCACCCTGGACAATAAGATTGTCACTAAAAACAACTGCTATACCTAAACTGCTATACTTCAAGGTTTCCTGTAGCAGGACATGCTATACCAAAACATAGCAATTTGAGGACATGACAGAACTCAAGTCTTTCTCACTTTCTCCCTCAGACTTTCATGTGATAGGTGCCCTTCCTATACCCAAAGAAGTGTCCTTTGTTTTAAAGATGCAAGACACGGTCAGGATTTGCTATGTCCTCTCTCCATTTATGCGTCTCTTGAATTATCCATCTTCACTAAGCCTAGCATAAAAATGCCCAGGTTTAACCGTTTCTTCTAGTCTTCATCTCTTTGTTGAAATCTCTTCTGTCACAGAAGTTATATTAAATAAACGTGTACACTTTTCACCTGTTAATCTTTCTCATTATAGGAGCCTCAGAGGGGAATCTAAAAAAGATACTGTCCCTCCCATATCAGACAGGGGTTTCAGGGGATAAGAGGTCAAAATTCATGACCAAGATGAAAAAAAGTCACCAAGCAAAAGTCAGGGGCAAAAGGGAATAGAGACTTTTGTGGGTCATGGAATGAGTTGGTGTTGAGTTTAAGAATTACTAAAAAATAAGGAACTGTCTGTGGTAGATGTGGAAAACCAGAAAGAGCAGGATGGGAGAGGCAGTGGAGTAAGCGGGTTTTTGAGATGGTTCACACCCTAGCTCTGCCATTAGCTGGATGGATTTTAGGTTCATTTAAAGTACCCCCCCAGGGGTGGATATAACTACTTCCGGCTTATTGAAAGGAAAAGTTAACTTATATATACAAAGCTTGACATACAGTAGCTGCTTGGAGGCCAAACATTATCAAGCAGCTATCAGGGTGAAAAACAAGAGGCAAGGAGCACTCATCAGAGATGAGGACAGGGATTCCAAGATGGCCACAGTGGTGACTAGGATGGACCATGTGTTCATTTCTAGTTCCAAGCACCCTGGACAATAAGATTGTCACTAAAAACAACTGCTATACCTAAACTGCTATACTTCAAGGTTTCCTGTGTGCCAACACTGGTGTCAAATGTTTGTTCTGCATGACTTAGGCTCTGTTACCATCCTCCCTTGGCAGAAGGGGAGATTTAAGGGGTCAGACAGGTTTTCAGCGGTAGGTCAAAAGTTCCACAGCTGAAGGGGGGCCAGGTTTATGACACTACATATCAAACCAAAGTCCTCTACTACAATGCTTTGCAAACACACCGACAACAGGGCCTGATCAAGGGAGATGAATATGGACAATTAGTGTAGGGGGTCATGGCAATGAAGAAAAAATATTCAACGGAGTGGACCCTGGGGCGAGGTGAGAAGACTAAGCTCCTGGGGGCAGTGTATAAAAATAATGTCTAGTATTGTCTTGTCCAAGAATTGCAGATTTTCATTTGGAAGGAAACTCTTGTGATCATCAAACTCCATCTTAACCCAGCATTGATCAGAAACTGTTAAAGAAGGGACTTTTCCCAGGTTCCCAAAACACAACATGGGTAGAATCTGGACTTGAACCTGGGATCACACACTCTATCTAGAATTCTTTGATACCTCCTATTATCGATATTTTACATTCATTTCCATATGGTCCTGAACACAATGGCGCTGAGGTGTTATGTGCTGATTGACACTGGAGGCTGGGGTGGGGGTAGGGGGTCAGAGAGGGATGCCAGTCGGATGAATTTAGGGTGAGGGCGATTATGGTGTTACAGGGCAAAGATCATGAGTTATGTGGATGAATGACTGGGACACTCCTGAAGTCTGACTTGAAGAGAGTCCACATGGGGTAGTTTGGGAGTCAGTAGGGAATGTGGGGGGTCTTGGAGCCGTGTGATCACTGTATCAGAACTGAGGTTGGTGGGTCTCAGACCAGTGCAGGGGTTAGCAGTCAATAAGTCAGGGGTCACGTGGTGAGGTCTGGGGTGGTCAGTGGGTAGGGATGGGGGTGATCACAGAGGCGGAGGGGGCACGGACTGGGTGGGGTTTGGGAGTCCTGGGGGAGGAGTCTCAGGGCGGAATGGAGGGGCAAGGACCCTGGGGGGCGGGGAGGGACCAGGCCGCCGGCCAGGGAGGCCCAGCCGGCCGGCCCGGGCCGGGGGGGGGGGGG